TGTAAATCGAGGCAGGAAAGTATTCATCAAGAAAAGTCTGCTCCATCTGTTCCCAAGTGGTGATACTTCTAGCAGGAAATGAGTAGAACCACTCTTCAGCATCTTCAGACAGGGTGAACGAGAACATCCTTAATTTCTTAAATTCTTCAAAGTTCCCGTCAATCTTCAAAGTAGTGCTCATGGTGAGAAATCGCTGCAAATGCTTATGGGCATCTTCATTGATCTTTCCGGTGAAAGATCTATTCTCGAGCTGGAGGATAGTTGAAGGATGCAGTTGAAAGTTTGCAACATTGACTGGTTGGTTCACAATAGTCAACCGATCTGCTGGAGCATTTGCTCCTCCATAGTCTCCAAGGAGTCTCTCTGATGGCGGATTTTCAGCCATTGGCTTTAACTCTTCAGACTCTGAATCTGAAGGATCTGAAGAACCTACTGACTCCTGTCTATCTAACCGAGCTAGTATGTATCTCGCGTGAAAAGTTCTTTCTATTTCTGCGTCAAATGAAAATTCAGCTGAGGACTTTCCTCGCATGCAAAGGTTAGGAAAAATCAGTAAAACAAAAATATGGAAATCACAGAAAAGAAATTTTAGTTGAACTCCAAATAAACTCAATGATTAGGCAGTCCCCGACAAAGGCGCCAAAAACTTGATTGGTAAAATAGCAAGTGTACTATTTTGTCTCTTGTAATAAGAGAGAAAATTCCCCGAATGTCAATCTCCAAGACTGCACAAAATTACCGAGTTTAATGCGAGGTTCAATTAAACAAAACTCAATTTGGGGTTTGGTTTGGTTATTGTTCTTAAAAGTAATTAAAAATATGCGAAGGTAAATTATGACTTTTTTTCCTAGTGTGAATATTATGCTAGGGGTAATTGTGTGGTTTGCCCTGTAATGACCTTCACTATTGATCTCTTCTACAAGTTCATTACCTTCAACTACCGGCCCTTTAGATTATTTTCCCCTAAGTCCTTAGTGAAAAAACCTTTAATCATTCATCCTCGATCCTAAGTCCTTAGAAACATCTGATAGAATCAAGCCTTTATCTTATCAGGGGTTAAATCCGGTGACTATAGGGTATCCTTAGTCCTAGGTGATATCTAATATAGTCTAATCATACAAAAACCTTAACAACTGCGGCCCAGTTGGTTGTTAACCGTAACTCAATCCTAATTGGTCTGATTGGGAAAGCATTAGAAACCTTGAACGACTAAATTGAAAGGAAACTATTGTATTAAAATCAATAATTCATGGTCAATACATTCGCAAATCAGAGACACCCTCCTAACATTGGGGGATTTAGCCGCACATAATATTCAAAGAGATTTCAATAATAATAACGATAGACATTATACAAATTAATGGTGAACTCTTATCTTTAATTGCTTCCGCTCGTGAAAGGTCTTCGTTCTCTCAAAACATGCATAGACTTCAATCTTTTATCGTCCAATTCTCCAGTCGTCAAAAGTCCTTATTTTCTTCTCCAAACCAGGTATTTATAATGTCAGGTCATCCCTCTGATGCCAAATGTCCACAATAACCTTAATGATCCAAGAATACAGGAAAACCTCAAAATTGGACTCTCATACGCCTAAGCTGACGCGGGCCGTGTCAGCGGACACGGGCACCCGTGTCAAAATTTGTGCTTTGCGTTGTACCTGAATTTGGCCCAACTGAATTGACACGGGTCGTGTCAGTGGACACGGGCACCCGTGCCAGCTCCTGTGATTCTTCATCAAACGTTCATACTTCATCTTGACTTGACATGGGTCGTGTCCTGTGACACGGGCACCCGTGTTGACTTCGGCCTTGCTAGAATCTGAACTTTTTCCAAATCTCTGAATCCTGCACTTTTTATCCTGATTTGTCCTGTTTTATTTGGTTGAACCTGAAAACACTAAAATACAAAATTAAAGCATAAAATGCGGTAAAATGAAATAAAATATCAATCAATTAAACGAAACAATAACTAAAATAACTGCTAAATTCCTGTGTAAAAAACATTGGTCAGTAGTTTTTGTAATATAATTGCTCCACCTAGAGTTGAGCATCTTCTATGGAGGATTTGTAAGGCTTGCCTTCCTACTCGTGCGCGTCATCGACAACACTTTGTCATGTACCCGTTAATATGTCAGTTTTGTGATCATCATACTGAAGACGAATGACATCTATTTTTGGGTTGTAATGCCACCAACCTTTGTTGGAGATCTTCAGGTTTGTCTAATCTTATAGAATCTCGTCATCATTTCTCCCATGATTTAAAATCCCTTATCTTTGGTATCGGTAAGAATAAGGATAAAAAGGTTGCGGGTAGATTTGCAGTTATGCTTGATTTATTATGGAAAAATAGGAATGATTTTATTTGGCAGCACGAACACGGAGAAGCTAATAAATTAGGTTTATGTGTGTTTCATAGGTGGGATGATTGGTTTCAAGCCCAATGTGTTAATGACAATAATGTTCCACCATCTCATTCATTGGATTGGGTGTCTCCTTCAATAGACTGGATAAAATGTGATGTGGATGGGACTTTTAATAATACTATTGACACTACTAATAGAGGTTGGTGTATGCGTAATAACCTGGAAAATTTCATTCATGCAGATATTGCTTGGGATCCAAGGACCCTTACCGTTATTGAAGCGGAGACTTTAACCCTTAAAGAGGTCATTATTGAGGCTATCTCATTGAACTTATATTATTTTTGAAAGTGATTGACAAAGAGTTACACAAGCTATCCATTTCAATAATAAGGGTGCTTCTTAGTTTAGTATTGTTATTAAGTCTATTTCTAATTTACTTCAATATTTTTCAAATTTTAAGATAAAATTTGTGAAGCGCCAAGCGAATATGATTGTCTATTCTCTTACGAAGGCGAACAATTCTTGGATTAGACATAATTTATCGAATTCAATTCTTTAAAGTATTGAACATATTCTTATTAATGAAATTCAGTGATTTTATTGTGGTAAAAAAAAATTGTATATTTACAACAACTTATCATATATGGTGAATTATGTGATCAACCATCTCTCCCCATTTAAATAAACTCTACCTTAACTCTCTTTCTCTTCCCATAATTAATATTTTCGTCTCTTTAGCCACCTTTTGATACTCCTTTTTTTATTAAGTTTTTTTACTCCTTTATTGCATGGATAAGTCTCATTTTACTCCAACACTATTATCTATCCTTTTAGTATTTGTAATATTTTATATTTCATCTAATACATAATTAAAATTTGTGATAATAACTAATTAAATTAATATTTTTTTATGTATTTAGTTCTTTTATCAATTTGCATATCATTCACGAACATTATTATTATAATGTTTTTATTTTATCTTTTTTATGTATCATAGTGTTCATGTCAGAAAAAAAATGACAATGAACAAAATGAGATAAATTAGAATTTCATTTACTAGTGTCATTGATCTATATATATTTTTTAGATTTGGTGGTGTAAATCTGTAGAGAGTCTTTAATGGAATTTTCATATGTACAACTACTATTCATGCTTTAAGGGGTCTCTGAATTACTTTTACAAAAAAAAAAAACATTGGAGTTGAAATGAAAAATGATAAAAATGTTATTAATAACTTAAAAATTTAAAATAAAATAAAAAACTAGAGGATAGATACGCATAAATGGCTATTTTAGACACAATCATTGGAAAAACTCCTTTGAGATGTTACAAATATTTTGGCAAAAATTAATTGGTACATTGTTTGTAGTAAATTGGAAAAATTAATATTTTGGCTAAAATTAATTGGAAAAACATGAGTCAAACATGTTGGTCTTTTGGTCTCTTGGAAAACTAAATATAAATAAAATTATGAATTTATGCAAAATTTAATTCATCACAACATTAATATTAAAACAAATAATTAACTATTAACAAAGGGAACTACATTTTTCATCTTCTTAATTCTTTGTTAAAACGAAAACTAAGTAACATTAAAATGAATAATAAGTTAAGCACCCACAAAAAAAATTAAAAAAACATTCAGTGTTCTATTTTTCAAGTTCTTAATTTGTTTCTGTTTTCAAGAGAAATGAGGTGCAATTCCCTTTTTACATGGCTTTTGAAGGCACAAATATAACCAAAAAAATTGACCTAGAACGACATGACTAAAACCAGGAGGAAGTCCACGGTGCCTAGAAGGACGGCTAACGGGAGATTTTTTCATATCAGCTTGTGAAACAAGTAATTAAAAATATTATTATCATTCATATCATATCTCAGAATTTTCAAAAATATATTTTCGAAATAAATTATATTATAAAATATGATAAATTTCAAAAACAAATGAATTATATATGCATGAATATGTGTCAAAAATATAATTCCAATTTTCTAAGAATATTTTAAAAAATACGTCAGATATTTCTTTACACTATAAGAAAAAATAAGTTCCCAAAACTAATAACACGAAGAAAGATGGCCAAAAAGTATTTACTCAATAGACGCCTAAAAAAAGGGCCCAAGTAGGAGCATTATAAATAGAAGAAAAAAAATTAAATAAAATTTTTTATGTGTGATTTTTGCTATTTTTCAATGAAAATGCTATTTTTCAATGAAAATATAATATTCGTAATTAAATATCATTTAAGGAGTGAAAATAAAAGAAAATTACATATATGTAAGAAAAAATTTTACACTTGTCATATTTTTATTGGAAATAAAAACAACCTAAGGAATTGTATTTTAATTTTCTCCGTATATAAGGCTTTGTGACTTGGTTCTTTTTTTAAAACCTCTAGACAAAACCATCGATTCCTCGCGCAAAAATAATTCAGTGAATTTTTAACGATATGGCTACAACGATAATACACAATGACTGTATACCGTATAATTCCCAATTGTACAAGACTAATCATTTCAAAGCACCTTAGGAAAGGGAATAATAAACCAATCTGAGAGTTAGACATGCAAATGCCACTAGAAAATCCAGAAATGAGTCGCAGGGATATTACATCAGAGTTCAAAACACAGTAGTTTCTCAGCTCTTTGATTTGGAATGCTTCACAAGCCAGTCTATAACAGAATCAATGTTGGTGGAATTTTTGCAAGAGATCATGAAACAGCAAACTTCTCTATCAGTAATGGATTTCAGATCCCTGCACACCAGATAGAACTCAGTACAAACAGAGATAAATGAGAACAAAATTGAAGGAGGAGATAATACTCACATATGTATTTAATTTTGGAACTCCCTATTACTAATTTAATCTGTTATCGCTATTAACAACCAGAGTACAAGGGATGTGAATCTTACATTTGGTCAGTCAAAGCTTGTTTAGACAGCGCTCCTGCCTTGTCAATCTTGTTCCCCAACACCAATAGAGGGATACCACTCAATGATGGTTTGCTCAGCAAATCATGAAGTTCACTTCTTGATATGCTAAGGTTATCTGGATCAGCAGCATCAACGACGTAACTGCAGAAAAGATCATATTAAGAAACTAGCAAAGTCTCACAAATTCAGCTAATGATTACCAGCTCAAGAGAAAGGTTTCAATCTGTAGAAATTTGAGCATATGATTCAACTAACAACTGTATTAGATCTAGGTAGCATCCCATTTTCGACAGAAAAAGTGATATTTGCTTTGAACTAAAAACCAATGAAGAATTTTTTTAATTGAGTAGCAACAAAGCACAGAGTGAAAGTTTTAACTATTGAAATTTTGGACCACATATTGCAAACTTGCAAGATAATCAAGTTCATGCACAAAATTTCAAGAAGCTACTACACACTTCCTTGCTTGAGACAGACAATACTGGAAGAAGGCAATAATAAAATCAATCTGTACAGGCAAATTTCTCTACGCTTTTTCATATAGGCAAATTATTTCTCAACATATAAAACATCAGGAAAGAGCTCTTTACTCAGTGAGCATCTAAACAATCAGTATTTAAGCATAACTATGTTTGAGTTCATGCAAGAAAAAATAATTAGGCAAACGGTTATAATTAAACAAGGGATAATCTGCTGGCTATGGAACAACTACGAAACCTAAAACAAACAGCTAGGGACATCAATCATCAAGAGCAAAATTAAGGCTTTGGGCACACACCTCAGTGGATTGCTTGGCAATATATCAAACACTTAGACAATATTACACACATAAGTTTATCATATACACAACATTTCAAATAAAAAGTTTTCAGTTAAATATCCATCCATAAATATATCAGTGTATGCATGAGGAACACACACACACATAAATATTCAAAGCTAGAAGAAAATAAGAAGTTTGTTCCATACACAATAGCAGAGACTGCACGGCAGTAACGTTCCCACATGCTACGGAACCTAGGTTGCCCTCCAAGATCCCATAACTTGATTGTAACATTGCCTTTTGTTACTTTCCTCATATTGAATCCCACCTGGAATCAGATAACAATAGATTGATCGGTATTGCCTTTGAGAGATAGTAAACTTCATAAATCCAACTGTTACAAATTCAAGAGAATAATAAAAAGTAGGATGAAAACAAAGAGAAAATTAAGAAACTTCCTCTGTACTATTGATTGAAATGACATGGTCAATATGTACTTCTAAGGAAAACTCCCCTTATAAAAAGGGCAGACCTAATTTTCTATATTATTAAAATGGGATCCCTCTCTGTTTTCAAATTCTACTTTACATCCTATACTGCTGCACCATCTTGCAACTATGACTTGTGTACCTAAATTAATCAAACTGGTCCTTCTAACTACAAAAAATAACTGCCAGTGTCATTAATTGTTGATTGCGGAAAATAACGGTCTGTTCAAATTCTACAAAGTAGCACTGCTATAACCATTATTCGACTATTTTGTACTAAATAGCATATTGCAGAATTATCACCCCCATCTGTATCAAATAACTCAGCTCCTTCCAGCAACCACTTGCTTCTCGTATGCACCTTCAATACCTTCCCTAATGACTACTGTCTGCTTACTCTGCCTGTCACTAACATTTACATGTAGAACATAAATATAAACATTGTCCTCAAGGTTGAAATGAGAATATAGCTCCCGGAAAAACCACGTAGGCCCTTTTTCTGGCCTGTGTGCCTCTGCACTGGAATCTGGTCTATTATAATCAGATCAGACCACAATGCAGAATGTGACGCTTCCTCTTGATGTCAGTGGATAACACTATTCCCAGCTCCTGGTGCCCCACAACATTCATCAGAAAAAATACACGAAATATGGTGAACTTGATGCTGCTTGGGTAGCTGCAGTTTGAATACAACAGAACCTCTTTGTTTGAAGACAAAAAATAACATCTTGCTCTATATTTCGGGTGCACATGCCCTCGTATCGACCCCTGCCTTGTATACCCAATGGCCTATTAGGATGCTAGCAGGTTTTGTATGTTGGTCTGGATAGTGCCTACTAAGCTCTTGATCCATTGCCAAATGATGTTTAAGTCGATGTTACACTTCATTTCTTTATATCAAGTATCCTGCAACCACTAAAACTACTGCACGTGTGCAACCACATAAACCACCTTGAATGGTGTACAACCTGGTGCCCCGTGATAGTTGGTATTATACCAACACTCTGCCTAAGTAAGGAAAAAACTCCAAACCCTTTTCTGTTCCGAAGTGACATATAGCAAATAGGTCTCCAACGTCTGATTCAATACTTCTGCCTGCCCAACAGGGTCAACATAGTTCCCTGTATTGAAACTCTCTCCTGCCAGAATTTGCTCAAGAATGTCACCCCGCCACTTAACAATAGAGATAGGAATCCCAAGTAACCAAACTAACTCTCATGCAAAATTGTATACTGCGATTCTTGTTGAATAGGAGTTTTTTTTTTTTTGGTAGTAGGGAGGGCCTAAGTCCAAACCAACAAAAAGCTAAACAACAAGAAGCTTAGAAACAAGAACACCATCAATGTCCATCTTCAAACTCTTCATCAAGAAATCAGGAGCCTCATGAAAAATCTGAATATCATTCTTCAACACCCTCCCATGGCAAGCAAGAGTGTTAGCACAAGCATTTGTCTCCCTGTAAGCAAAGGTGATTTCCACCTCTCCAATAGCAGCCAACAAGTGAATAATCTGCTGCTCCATATTCGAAAAGCCAGAAGCCTTCTTCCTAGCTTTAGATAACACCTCCACAGTCACCCGAGAATCCGAATTCACCTCCACCTTCGAAAAGCCATGCTCAATAATTAGCTTCAGCCCCACAAAGATACCCCACAACTCAGCCGATAGCACGCTGCACTTCCCAATGAACTTGGCAAAACCGCTAATCCAACTCCCTTGAGCATCACGAATTATACCCCCACACCCAGCAACACCATCTTTATCCCTAGAGCCATCAACATTATGCTTTACAAACCCTTCCCTAGGAGTATTTCAATGCAATGAAATAGCCATACTTAATTTGTAAGCAACCAGTCAACCACCAATCCTGAATCATATCCTTGGACCTCGACAACCTTAATAAAGTGCATACGGAGTTCTCCACAAATAGCTCTGGGAATGGGTATTACGCAGTGTTTATAACAAGCTTGCATTGCAGGAGACGCCAATTGTGCCAACATTTTGTAGTTCCTATAAATCAATGTGTCTAAAAACAGGAAAAGTGTGGAATCTAGCCAATAGCTTGAAAAATGCAAGCACAAGTGGCTGTTAAAACCATCCTACCTTTGCAGAACAAGTTTCCCTACTCATTAGTAGTAAAGAGGCAATGTGAATTAAAGTTCTTCTTGAGGTCGTCCAGAATTCTTCTCAAGGTCTTATCTACCTGAACTCCTCAGTCCTGAACCAGAAATACTGGATATAAGATCGAAACATGGCATGCATCACCTTAACATCTTCTCTATGAAATAGTGCACCTACCACTTGTTAGAGGTGTGCGGTTCCACTTTTCTTACCCAAATCCCAGTTCATTGTTGTCACTCAGAGGTCCCAACCATCCCCACTCTCCTCCATCTGCCATCATTGTCCTCAAGTGGCAACTGATCCATCCTTAGAGTTGTCGCTGGTTTCATCATTGTCTTCCAAAAACAGCCCAACTTATTCCATCTAACGAGCCATAAGCCCCTTGATGCTAATATTATATTGTGGGTTGCCATACTCCGTTGAAAGTCTGCCAAGTGCTAATTGGGTGCGGTGTTGTTGGCCACCTGATCTCTATGACACTAACTACTTATGTTGATGGTTCACGGGCTTCAATGAGCGCCTCCATGTTATCCAGTGTCTTCAGATCAGGAAAACTGAACCACTTGTTAGGAAGCCAAGAGGGTAATAAGAATTAGGATGAAGATAGATTACAAGTTTAGAAGCTCCCTGTATTATTGATTGAATAGACAAAGGTCAAGCAAGACTCAAGACAACCTACTAAGGGAGATTTCCCTTGTTATACGTCAGGACCTTCTATTATTATTTTTATCGTAAACTAGTACCTTCTTATCCTGTCACTAAGACAACTGTACCCTAATGAATCCTACTTATCCTCCTAAGTCCTAACAACTACAATAAACTTTTGTAAAATACCAATTTACTATAGGAGCTCCTTTCCACTACCTTTCTTTCTCGAACACAACTTCAAACCCTTCCCACCCCACTGCTGCCCCATTTGCTAACAGCCTAACACAAACAAATAGAGGAAGAAGTGATAACTAAAAGCATTTGGTGAGCATAACTTACTGTAGGGATCATGTCCTCGCTGTATCCACCGGTCTACAAGCAATAAAAAAAAAATCAGTTAGTAAAGCAGACTCAAAGTATAAGTTAAACAAAAAAGAAGAGAAAATTAACATGATTATTGTACTTACAGCAACAACATTTACAAGGGAAGTTTTTCCAGCATTCTGAAGTCCTATAAGAGATAACTCCATTTCCTGCTTGAAGAAAAGGCTGCAATCAAATAAAATTTAAAACATAATAAGCTCATGCTTTAGAAGAAAGCGATCCACTTAGCACAGGGGATGGATATATATATTAGACAAAACCAAAAAATATAAAATTCAACTTCTAAGTACAGCCTAAAACTGAATTTTTATTGTTGGGAAAAGACAAAGCAGATTTAATGCAAGCAAAGACCAGTTAGTAAAGAATAATGTTGTTTAGCACCAATGGTGAACTTGGAAGAACTTATTTACAGCACATTTGGGTTTAACTTATGATATTAGCACTTGTATAAGCGTTCTTGGGAGAATATGACAACGACATGTCCATGAGATGTTCTCAACTTATTTCAATATGTTTTCCATGATAGCTTCATCAAAACAACTTATGACTTACATCAATACAGTTTGACCATATTCCCTCCTTGACTATTTAAATTAGTTTATACACAAAGGCTTATATAATAAGCATTTATTCAAAAAGTTCAATTACATAATAAGCACTTATCTAATAAGCGCTTAATTAAGCTGATTACCCATCTGTACCCCAAAATAATTCATCTGCAGACCGGAGTTTCGTCTATTTGAATTCCATTACCTATCCATCCCAAACTACATCCATTTTAATTCTATACAACAGCTAGCCTAACTCATCCAAGGTTTCAAACACAACAACTTCAAAATCAATAGTAAATCACTCGAAATCAAACAAATTACAAATCATATCAACCATGAAAACGTTTTACAAATCATGAAATATAACCAAAATTGAACACCTTCAATATTATTATAAAAAGAATTTAACGAAAACCTTAGAAATATACAAACAAAAACATAACTCCTTCAACAATCAGTAATTCCGCACCAAATTACTCACACAAATACACATTTCAAAATTCAAACCATCTAAACCGCTCAATTAAAGCACAAACAAAAAACATAATAACAATTACAATATCGCACAGCTACAAGAACCTAATTCTTCATTAAAAAAAATACAAAATACAATAACCTAATTCTTCAAGAAAATAACAATGGCGATGAATGAAAAAAAGCTTTACCTGCGTAACCAATTCAGAAAAGCCTCCCACAATCCCATTGCTTTTTCTTCTGATCACGAAACAATCGATTGAAAGAAAGAAGAAAAAAAATCAGATCTATGAGAGAGAAAGAGAGAAAGATTTTCTAGAAGCTTCGCTGCATCCAATTCTTCACACAAACCTCTTCCCTCTCCGTTCCCTCCCTTTGCACTGTTTTACCGCACTCGTATATCAAATCAATTGCAAATTGCGAAACATTTTTTATTTATTTTTTTATTTTAGGTTTTGGAGTGTACTCAGATCCAACGGTTGTGAATATTCCACTGCATCATATCCGTTAATTGTGGTGGGGTCCGTAAGCACGAGACCATAATGCCCCTTGTTATCTTTATTTAGAGGACCTGTGGTGCTTTGCCACGAACGGCGACAGCTGGACCAGAGCAAAAATGTGGGGAATTTACCACGCTTTGTTATGGTGCGTGTGTGACACGAACGGCTAGAAAATGTTTAGTGGATTATAAAGTTCATGGATGAAGAGCGTGGGATTTAATGCAAGTGAAGACGTCACCGACCAGAAAGTTTTTCAATGTCTAAAGTTATCAATTATCATCATAGCCAATCAAAGGCAATTTGGAATGATACCAAATGTGAGCTGGAAATGGTTGAAGCTTAGAAATTCAAATTACAGTATTATTTTTGGAAAAAGTCTAATTATAATATATTTATGAAAAGAGTAATATAATAATAGCAACATTAAAAGATTAAAAAAATTTAGACCAAAAAAATAGTTAAATATACTCTTTCTATTAGCCATGGCAAAAAGACTCAGATCCGTTGGGTCCTGCCTAGTCCGTCCGAAATTAACGGAAAAACCTGACTTAATTGGGTGCGGGTGCGGGTAAAATTCAATTTTAACTACGGGCGCAGGGGCGGAGACAGTAAGACACTAAGACCTGTCTGCACTCGTATCCGACCCGCCCCCGAATACTGCAATTACATTAATGTCCTTATTTTATATAGACATATAGCATCGTGAAAATTGAAAGTGAAAACCCTATTCTCTCTTAAAATTGAAAAAATTCTCCTCTCAATGCAGAATTAACCGTAACACCAAAGAATCAACCGATAAACACTATTTTCTTCATCTTCCTCTTCTGGCACAAGATTCAAGCTTTTGAACTTTACATAATATTTGATATTTGGTAATCTAAATTTTCCTTGTTATAGTTATTTCTCCGGAATTCTCTCTCCCTTCATTTTCAAGCTTCATATTTTTTATAATTTTGTTAGGTAATTCAGTTTATAGAACATTGGAAGATTTTATGGATATATAGGGTTGATTTTGGGATAGAAATGGCATGTTTTTCTTTACCTTGTTGTACTGGGTCATTTTTTACCCCAAATAGGTTACAAATTAGATATTTTAGGGTTCATATAGGTTTATGCACTAGTTTATTTGTTTTTCCTTCAATGAAGTTTAATTTTCAACATGAGTTTGTATTGAACAAGAAATTTGAGCGTTATGGTAGAAAAATAGAGTTCTGGTGTCGAGGTTTCGGTATTGTTGTTGCAAGTCTCAACTGAATGGTGTTCATAATGAAATTGAGCCACTTGTTAGTAGAAGTATGGGTGGCAGTGGTAGGAAGAGTGGTTATGGTAGCAACTTTTCTTCTATGTTGCCCAAAAGACCAAAACTGAGTAGTAGCAAAAAGAAGAAACTCCATGAAACCTTGATTAGAATTTTAATTTCTACTGTGATGTAGAATTCGTGCGAATTGAGTTGTATCAATAATAATAGTATCAATAAACACATGCTATTGTGATGTATACTGGCTAGAATAGTGTATGGTGTATAAATAAACACATGATATGCTCTGTTGTTTCTATTGATATTAATACTTTGATAGCTATGGAAATTGAGTTGGTAGATTTGTTAGCAATAACTCACTACCCAGTAACTAAATTGAATGGCATAAACTAAAGAAAGTCATTTGACAGTTTAATTTGATTATTCTTCTACTAAGTAGTAATATTTAATTTTGGTGGGTTAAGTATCACTTTTTCAACCATGACGTTTTGGTTTTTTCCTCTGCCAGTTTAATTTTCAAAATTGTGAAACATTATAAAGTTTATCGTTTGAGAACTGAGTCTTGGGAAACTTGAGAATATAGTCCTATATATACAACAAATGTTATTTATATATTGCAACAACTCGTGCTGATTGATTGATGTTTATTATATTGTTTAATTGTGTAGGTTCATCCTTTACATATTTGAGAAAGACACTGATGGCAACATGAGCAATGAAATGGAAGTGCTAATATTTAGATATAGAGATAAACATTACAACAAATCTTAAATAAATATTTGGAGATAAATTATGTATCACTGTGAATGTGCTTTGTAAGTAATTTGGGAGCTGTATAAAAGTTAGGTGAATGGGTTACTTTGATGTCTTTTTGTACTCAATTTAGCCGAGTTATTGAGTTGGAATCTTTTATAAACATGTTAACCATTAATCGACTTTGGGAGGTGCTATGATAGATTGCTAGGGATTTATGATGCAGAAAATTTTAAGAAAGAGCTTGCACATGCAACTATTTTGCATGAATATCCACTTTCAATAGTGGATCATATTGGTTTTCAAAGATACTCAACTTCTCTCCAACCAATATTTTAAGTTCCTTGTAGAAATACTATAAAAAAAGAGATACTCAAAGTATACGATATGGAGAGATCATCAACTTTGAAGTTGTTAGAAAATGACCTTTGGACCTCGACCAATCTAAAAAGGAATATATGGCTATTATTGCTCATTACATTGATGGAAACTGGAATTTACAGAGTCACATTTTGAGGTAAATCTAAAATGCTCACTACATATTACTTTTGTGAATTAAAAATGCAAACATGTTTTTTAACTGCTTATTATATATAGTTTTGTGAATCACATTTTAAGGTAAATTGATAATACTTACTTTACACTTGTTTTTTACTCTGATTTCACATGTTATTTAGGTTTTTAATTATTGTTTTCTCGTATTATGCCTATCTTTTATTTCCTTTTCAGGTATTTTAATTATCCAGAGCTCCCCTGAAGAAATGAAGGAAAACAGGTTGAAAAACAGGAGTTTAGGTCAAATTTCCACTCATGGCATCCACCATGACGCCAGTCATAAGGTAGGCCATGACGTGGACCACCTCCTGCTGACCTCAACTGCCACGGCCTCCATGGCAGGCGCCATCTTTGGACGATGTTTTCCCCCCCAAAAGGAGTTGGGAGGCATTCCTGTGATTTCCTGCATTCTTCATCCTCTATAAATAGAAGTTCTTGATTTCATTTCAATTCACCCAAGCTTAGTTGCAAACTTGATCCAACCATAGTTGCAAACTTAAGCCATATGATTTCACCATTGTAAAGCGATAGTTCTTCACATCAGGGAATTATTTCACTGTTGATTGAGTCTGTGATCGAGTTTGTAAATTGAGTCTGTAATCGAGTTTGGAGCACTTCGGAAGAAGTTTATCCTGCCACATTTATTTTTAACTGCTATTTATTTCCAGTCGCATTTTACTTCCAGTTTTTACTAGATTTAAAACCTCCCCATTTGGAGCAAATTTCTATTTATATTTCCCACACCTGTTTTTACTTTGTTTATTTCCCGCACTTGCTTTTACTTTGTTTATTTCCCGCACCTGCTTTTACTTTGTTTATTTCCCGCACCTGCTTTTACTTTGTTTATTTCCCACACCTGCTTTTACTTTGTTTATTTCCTGCACCACACTTTAAATTATTTACTTTCTCGCATGATTTATTTTAACATGTCTGTTTACATTCCCATGTCAGGCTGAACCTTACTGGGCTAGAATGTAAGGAATCTAGTTAGATCGATATTCCAAATAATGTGTCAATAGAAATGCTTATGGGCTATTTTGGTTTTTAATACGAGTTTTTGTACTTTATTGTTGTTGGGTAAGATCGAAAGCCGTCCAACCCTTTGTTAAACTCGGTTAGTTCTAACTGGTCAAAGGAAGCGAAAGCGCTTTGTCCGGTTAGTTATGGATTTTTATTATCAAAGAAATCAATTTTGAAACTATTTTCGGACGTGTTTATAGGGTTAAAGTTAGGTCACTTTTTTATTAGAAATTCCATATCAAAATACTTTTCAACTTGGTCAAGTACTTTATTTCTTAAAAATAGGTTTATTACTTTAACGCAATGCACTCCTTTTTATAAGTGACGATAAGAAGGTCTGATTAGAGAGTAAACTCAGTTCTGATTACGCGAAAGCGACAATTCCTGTTAAATTAGTTCTTTTCTTTAGTAGAAAATATTGCCCTATAAGTAGTTCTATTCCGAAGCATTGAGAATATCATCTGACTATGTGAATTACATTCGACCTTGATTTTATATCTGAAGTTCATTTCGCCGCACTTTACTTTCTTGCATGCTCAATTCCCTGTTTAATATTGACTTAGCTAAACACCGTAACAATAGGAAACGATAGATTGACGATTGGTCTCTGTGGATCGATAATCTTTTATATTACTCTGACGCGATTCGTACACTTGCAATACTATGCATCAAGTTTTTGGCGTCGTTTCCGGGGACCAATTTCATTAAATTTCGCACCCTATAGTTGCACTATCTAGACTAAGTTTTACAGTCCGGTTAATGCAAAGATCTCGCAGCACCGGAACCTTATTCAATCCTTTAGCGGAACCTGAACGTTACATCCATGTTCTCCGTAGAATTAGAAAAACTATGGCCGAGAATCGTAACCAAAGACCCCTTAAGGAATTTTCCCAACCGTCAGATGAGGAACCTAGTTCAAGTATCGTAAACCCAGCTATAACCACAAATAATTTCGAACTAAAACCCTCATTGCTATAATTGGTGCAACAAAACCAATTCAGTGGTCTCACTACTGAGAACCCGAATCAACACTTAAAAACTTTTATACAATTAACAGATACTTTAAAATGCAATAGTGCTTCGCCTGAGGCAATACGACTAAGATTATTCCCTTTTTCCCTCAGAGATAAAGCACGAGATTGG